CTATGTAACATGCATAAATTTGGATTTTTGAGCCGGATCTAATATATAATTTGGCACGTGATTCCCCCTACCCTTAAGGGTAGAGTATACATAACACAAATCTACTATGATCTACAATGGCTAATTTTGATTTTATCTGGTTAAAAAAGTAAGCCACATATTAAAGACAAATAAAAAATAAATAAAATTGTACAAATTTTATATCTTTAGCTTCTCAAGATTCTGAGTTTTAATTTAATATACAAACCATAAAAAATTATTCTATTCTTGCTAGAGTTATTACAACTTTAAAGTCAAACCTATTTTCAGATTACTAATTAAAATTCTCAGATTACTAATTAAACATAGTAAAATTATAAGTGAATGTATAGAAACACTAAGTGAATGCTAATTAAACAATATACAAACACTAGTTAAGAATAGTAAAACTGTAAGTGAATATATAAATTCTAATTAAATTATAAATATTTTATCAAAGCATGCTAATCATTATAGAATTTATTATATGTATTAATATAAGATATATTTTATAGAAACAATAATTTTTATAACAAATATATTATTAAATCTCAAAGGAAAATTATTTATTTTTAATTCTTTGCCAATGAGTTCTCAAGGTAAATGGTATTAGTTTTATTCATGTGTAAATTTGAAGCATTAAAAACATTCTAATTTAAAAATAAAATTTTTGAAAACATAACTATCAACTAGACAAGTTGAGGGATGGTAGTGGAAGTCAATAGCAAGACAACAATATATCTCTATCTATTCTACATATACTATTTGTTCTGCTTATTCTTTGTGGAAGTTATATCAAATTTTCTTTTTACTTTTAAACATGTGAGTGCTTCTTATAATTTTACTTGAAGATAATTAATATAATCATCAGGAAATTAATTTAGCGTAAACTTGCATAAATCTTACGATGCCGACGTAATATTGTGTAAATCTTACAGTGCCGATGTAAGTTTTACACTTTTTTATTATTAAACTTACAATTGACACGTGTAAAATTTTTTTATATTTTCCGGATGATTAATATAATACTGAGAATTAAAGTGTTAACATTATAATTTATTTTTAAATAAGGAAATGAGAAAGAGCAGCAAAATATAGCCTGTTTATTTATTTGTTTGCTAAATGATGTAAAGGATGTGAAGAAAAGGACAATGTTATAGTAAATGTTTTCATTTATTGTTTAGTGTTAATTACTGGACTTATAATTTTCATTCTCTCATCACCTGCTTTCAATAGGTGTTATTACAAATAAAATATATTTTTCTACCCTGATATTACTATTATATAATGAATGTTAGTTATTATGACTACATTAATATTTTAATGATCAGCAGCCAAAAAATTATCCACTGTATCATAGTAAAATTTATGTTACATATACTCCCCCTTAAAGAGCATCAAAGAAAAACTATAAGTTCAACAGTTTATCATCATTGTATTATTATTAATTATATTAATCACTTTGTTCATGAATAGACAATAAATTTTTGATTTTTACATGTATATATTAAGGATCAGTTGATGGTGAATGAAAATGAAGTTGTTATTATCCATTATGTAAAGAGAATATTTTATTATTATTATTAAATAGACATTTATAAATTTCTTTAGTTGAGGTATGTACACAGTGAGTCTCGGTATAGCGGATTTGGGGGTTTAGTGGATAAATTTTCAAAACCAAATTTTTCTATAACAATTTTATCTCGGTTTAACAGATTTAACGGATTTTTTATTATTATATAAATTCGGTTTACTGGATATTTTTTAAAAATTCATATATGTCACTTATTAGTCACAGGACATGTCACATTGGGGTGGTCGATATACTATGTAAATCAAAACTATATGTGGTACCATATAAAAATTAATATATAGAGATTTTTTTGCAGATCCTATTAAATTGACGAATTTCATATGGGGGCTGTTCTAGGAAAAAGTGGGTTTCGACCCTCAGATTCAAAAATGAGATATTTATACCAAATTAATC